GGGGGTAGGAGCTGGGGGTTGGGCGACCTGCGGGTGGAGACCCGCCTCGAGCAGCGACAGCGGTGCGTCTGCCTCGCCCACGACCAGCCGCGGGTAGTTCGAGACGAGCTCGAGCCCGGCGGGGCACGCGGCCGCCGCTTCCGGCGAAGCGGCGGTGACCCAAGTCCGCACGTGGCTGAGGGGCGCCTAATTAATTCATCAATAGTTCGTTAGTCAATTAATTAATTAAGTCCGCACGTGGCTGAGGGGCGCGCCTGCTTCGGGAAGCGGCGGCTCAGCCGCTTCCCGTCTGGCAGCCGCGCGAGCACCTACACACGGGGACACGGCGCGGACGAGTCCCGGACATGTCTCGGCCGCGTCCCGTCCGGAAGCAGCCGGCGAGGACCGTCGTCGCGTCTGGCCCAGGTGCGGGCTCGGCAGGGAGAGCCTCCGCCGCCTCGGCCGCCTCGGCCGCCCGGCGAGCGTGCGCCTCCGCCTCCGCCTGCGCGGCGGCGGCGGCGGCGGCGGCGGCCGCAGCCGCCTCGGCTTCAGCCGCCGCCTTTGCGGCCGCCTCGGCCGCCGCCTTTTGCTCCTCCTCGTTGATGACTGACGCGGCGAAGTCGACCTCGAGCTCCGTCTCGATGACGCAGACCTGCTCACTCATGCGCCATCCTCAGCGACGGCTGGCACCCCTCCTCCTCGAGCGTCGTCTCTCTCTCTCTCCCTCTCCCTCTCTCTCTCTCTCTCTGTGTGTGTGTGTGTGTGTGTGGGGGGGGGTTGCACCTGTTTGGGGGGGGGGACCTCCGCGAAAAAAAGCTCGCCTTTAACCGGCTGGGACGGAGGGGAGGCCCCAAAGAAGACTTCGCCTCGCCAAAGAGGGGAGCTGGCCTCCCCGAAGGCCAAGAAAAAAAGTGGTTTTCCAAAAGGGGGCCTTTACGCCGCGCTGCCTTTACCCACCACCGCTTTTCCACCCCCCAACGCCCCTACCCGCATGCGCCGCCCCGGTGTGCAGCATCACGGAGTCGCCGAGGGAGAGAGTGGCGCGCGAGGCGGAGAGGTTCCGCTCGAGCGTGCCTACGAGGACACGTCCGAGACATGTCCCAGACATGTCCGCGACGTGTCCCTCACGCGGGGAGGGGCCGCTCGGGCGATCCCTTGGCGTCGTGTCCGCACAGCGCGACGAAGTTGTCGTCGAGCGGCTGGAGCTTGGCGAAAGTGCCGCGCGGCAGCTCCGCCTACTCGCTCCCTCGACGCCTCGGCAAGGCGCCGCCGCCGCTCCCCACGCGCAGCTGCGCCCTCTCGCCGAAGAGAGCTGCAGCTGGTCGCCGTCACTCGCGCCGAGCGCACGCATGATCCAGAGCGGCACCTAATTAATTAATTCACTAGCTATGAATGAATGAATTAGGCGCCGAGCGCACGCATGATCCAGAGCGGCACCACGACCGAGCCCTCGGGCGCGGAGAACTCGAGGACGCCGACGTGGCGGGCCGCGCCTAATTAGTTAATTAATAGTTCACTACCTAATTAATTAGTTAGGTAGGACGCCGACGTGGCGGGCCGCGCCGCCCCACTCGAGCTTGAAGAGCATCGGGTGGGGCATGCCTGGGGCGCGGCACGACGGGGGGGGGAGGGGGAGGCGGAGTCGGGAAGGGCGGCGCTATGCCGTGGCGCGGCGGCAGAGCGCCGCTCGCCTCCCTCCCCGACGCGGGCCATGATCTCTTGCAGCGTCGAGGGCGGGAGCAGCACCTTGTCTCCGTCGGAGAGGGAGGGGTTGTCCATCGCCTCGGAGGAGAGGCAGCCTAGGGACACGTCCCACACATGCCCCACACCTGTCCCACACCCGTCCCACCTCGCACCGCTGCAGAGGGGCTAGCCGAGCACGCCCCGCCACGCCCCTCCGAACCGGAGCGCGCCGCCGAAGGGCATGCCGGGCGGGAGGCCGCCTCCGAAGGCCGCCGGGCCAGGCCCCATCCCCCCTCCCACCCCTCC